GTGAAGAAAATAGAGAAGGAGGTGGTGAAGCGTAGAAGAAAAGAAAGCAGGATGATGATCAGGAGATGTTAGAAGAAGATGAAGTGGATGTCAGAAGAAGACCTGCATGGGGTATGAGGAGGTACATGGTATGTTTGAGGGGGAGGGACAGTGAGTTGTGGCGAGAGGGAGACCCTTTGAGGGAAAAAAAGATGATGCAGTATTATAAGTGGAGACGGAAATGGAGGAGTTGGAGGAGGATGAAACTCAAAAGAAGTTGAGTCGAAGCAGTTGAAATTTAATAGTATTAGGATAAAATCAGGTGGATATCAGGGTAGTGAATGGGGAAAAAAAAGCCAGGGTGATTTTTCCGTGGTTATATTAAGTACAAGATATAAAGAGTACACATAACAGGTGGAGCACTGCAAAACAAAGAACTCGTCAAAGAAGAGTAGGATGATGAAGTATTGTGTAAAAAGGAGGAAGAGAAGATGAAAACAGGTGGATGAGAATATGTTGGTGGGAAGAAGAGAATACGAGGAGGATGATTTCATGGACAAGAGGTAAATAGAAGAACAGGAAACAGTGGAGGTGGAGTGGTGTAACAGAAAGGTAACATCAGAACAGAAGAGAAAGTTTGAGGTGATAATGATAAATGATAAAATGATAATTTGGAGGAGGGATGAGAACAGACAGAGGAATAGGTGGTGGAGGTAAGAAGAAAAGAAGAGGAAGATGAATTCCAAGAGGAGTTGTAAGTAGAAGAAATTAGCAGGACACAGAGTAAGCAGACTTTTGAAACAAAATAACTCATCAAAAGAAGAATAGTACGAGGAGGTACCGAGAACCAGTTGGAGATGAGGGAAGAAGTAAAGAAGAGCAGGAGGAGTTTTCGAGGAGTAAGACATAAATAGCAAAAATGAAGAGCAGGAGTTAAGGGTGAAGACTGGTAAAAAGGAAAAGTGAAGTACAACATCAGAAGAATAGGATGACTTGGAGGCACAAAGAAGAGAGTAGTTGGCGGAGGTGCAAGAAGGTATAAAAAGAGTTTAGTATTTAAGAACAAGAAAATAGGTAGATGAATTCAAGGAAGGTAGAAGAATAAAAGGAGGATGATGAAGAATAGGAGTAGAAAAGAAGAAGAAAGGATAGAAGAGTATTGGATGGGGAGGCATTATGAAAGCAGGAAGAGGATAAGGAACTTTAGTAGGAGAAGTAGGTGGTATGAAGAAGAAAAGATGAGTAAGAGGGATGCAAGATGATGAGGTAGTGGAGGGAGAAGAAAAGTCGAGAAAGTAAGAGGAGGTAGAGAAGGAATTGGAAGAGGGAAGAAGAAAAGAAGTGGACAGGAGGATAAGTTAAGGAGGATAGAAAACGAGGTTGAGGACGAGATGAAGAAGGGAAGAAAGAAACTTGACAGCCATGCAAAGTATCGTGAATGCTCAAGCTTAATTTCACAGTTCATTTGCTGGGAGCTGCTCGATGCCATTTCCTTCACTGGCTTTTGAAGCTCTAATTTTAGATCCAAACCTACATTAGTCATCGCAGAAGTATGTGAGGGGATCTGGGAGGATTAGGCAATGTCTGCCAACTCTCTTCTTTAGACAAAATGTATACATTTCAGGCAACGAAAGCAAATACTGCCTTCCCAGGGGCCAGAGTGATCATACAGTGGGGAGGGCACATACCTTCCACTGGGCCAGCCTGGGTTCAACCCATGGCATCCCATAGGATCCGCTGAGCACCACCGACTCTGTTTCTGAGTGCAGAGCTAGGAGCCAGCCCTTAGCATTACTGATACTCAAGGTGTTCCCTTGCTCACACTGGGGTAGAAGCAAATCCACTCAAACTTCCTCCTCTTGGAGCACAAGGGATGTCTCAGCATCCGCTGGGTCAGAAGGGCCATCACACACAACAAAGGCTATGGATCTCCCTCCATGCCCAGTGCCACCCACCCAGACCCGGAGGAGCTAGAAGACACAGACAGATTCTCTGCATCTAAATAACACAGCCCATTAACGGGCAGAGCTAAACACTGGCACTCAGGTGGGGAGTGTTTGTGGTCAACCAACCAGTCAGAAGCTGGGGCCCTAATGAGCCCCCTCATTCATATCGTCACAGAGGTAAGTGTGGCTGGTGCATGCGCTCAGCAACTCTGGCTTGGGGGGAATGATGAAGGATGTATTTTTTTAAAACGTGATGGAGAGGCTAGAGTAATAGCACAGCATGGACGGCAGTTGCCTTGCACGTGGCTGATGTAGGTTCAATCTGTCGCATCCATAAGGTCACCCCGAGCACCACCAGGAGTAATTCCTGAGTGCAGAGCCAGGAATAACCCCTGAGCATCACCGGGTGTGGTCCAGAAATAGAACAAAAAACAGATCCCTCCAGGACAACTCTGGAGAAAGCAGACAGCACAAGCCCGCAGTACTAGGGCAACTGAAGAGAGAAGACAGTGGGGAGGGTGCTCACCTGGCCCAGGGCCAAGCTGGGCTCAGTCCCAAGCATCCACAAGTGATACCTTAGTGCAGAGCCAGGAATAATCCCGAAGCATAGTTGGGTGTGTCCCTCAAAATATTCTAAACTGGACATGGCTGGAGACAGACATTCGTCCTGACCCCTATGCAGTGTCCAGGGCCAGCGACTCACCAGGAAGACTTGAGGAACACAGTGTAAAGTAGGAACGGTGAGAGAACACAGGTCAGCAGACAAGAAAGGTGCATACTGCAGGAGTAGGGGTAGGGGAGCCCACCACAATTCACACAACAGGCTGCACATTCCCGCCAGGATGGGGAAATCTTAGAGCACTGTCGGTCCCGGAAATCCAGTGGTCCCACAGAAACTGTAGACTTTCAGAAGCTTCTAGAGCCTGGAGGAGGGAGAGCAGGCATGCCATGCCATCTCGCCATGCCCTCCCCATCTCCTGCACAGTACCTGGCACACGGGGGAAAGGATTAGCCCACATAGTCATTTCTAATCAGCTCCTAAGCAAGAAACCGGTCTTATGGATATGGGGGTGCCTGCCGAGGCATGGGGCAGATTAGGGGCCCTTCGTGCCAGCACAAACTGCTCTGCTCCCTTGACCAAGGTGTGGAAGGTCATGACGTATACATGAGTGCAGGCTCAGGAGGGAAGGAAGGCAAATGGAGTCAAGAAAGGAGAAAGTGAGTTTCCGAGAGAGGCCATCAGCACCCCAAAAGGAGAGGTGGATAACAGTGATGATGTGGAGGGCAGGGAATATTCCAGAAAGAATATTCTTTGTGTGGACAGGGCAGGGAACTGGAACCTACACAGCCCGCCTATCTGGACATGACCAATGCATCAGCCAGGGGAGAGCAACAGGTTTTGGTGGCAAGTAACCTCCCCCGCAGCTTGCAGGTGACTCTCGATTCATCAAAAGGAAAGGAAAGCTAGTAATTAGGATTTTTGCTAAACATAACCCAAAGCATTAACTCTATAAAACAGCTGGCACAAAATAAGGTGAGTTCTGTGCCCGACAAGAATATCTCTATCAGAAAGGCTGTGCCAGAAATACTACATAAAATAGAACAATGCAGATTCATTTTAAATGTCTAAGACCCTTAAAGCGCACCTTTTGTTTTGTTTTCCAGGCCAGACCCAACTGTGCTCCTGACGCTTACTCCTGGTGCTGTGCTCAGGGATCACTCCTGGTGGTCTCAGGGGACCTATTGGGTGCCGGGAATAGAACCCGGGCTGGCCTTGTGGAAAGCAAATGCTCTCCCCACTGTCCTATCATTCCAGCCCCACAATTTCTTTTCAAGCGAGTCATGCTCCAATTTTTCAGTACCTGTATTGCGAACCAGAGTGCTCAAGGGGAAGGGAGAGAGAGAGAATGAGAGAGAGAGAGGTGCCTGCCATAGAGGCAGGCTGGGAGGGGGGGTGATGGGAGGGAAACTGGGGACATTGGTGCTAGGAAATGTACACTGGTGGAGGGATGGATGTTGGAACACTGTATGTCTGAAAGCTAATCATGAATAGCTCTGTAAGGGTCTGTCTCATAATGATTCAATAAAAAGAGAGACAGAGAAAAGCACCCGCCATTGAGGCAGGCTGTCGGGGATGAGGGGCTGATGGGAGGGAAACTGGAGACATTGGTGCTGGGAAATGCACACTGGTGGAGGGATGGGTGTTGGATTACTCTATGACTGAATCCTAATCAATCACATAAAACTTTGTAACTGTGTACCTCACTGTGATTCAATTTAAAAAAAAAAATCAACCTGTGAAAAGTAAGGCAAGGAGATAAGCAGACAGACCAATGGCTCAAAGACTTATGTGGCCATTGTGTCTTGGTCTCAGGGAATGTCAACCTGAATAAGCACGAGAGTATGTCATGGGCCACTGGCAGGTGTCACGAAGGCTGGCAACAAGCCAGGCTGTGGGGGGCTGCAGCAGACAAGGAGCCCTCTCTCTCCCTGTGACTGGAATGCCATCTGGTCCAACCTCAATGGAAGAGGCACAGAGGCATCAAATCAGCAATACAGCGGCCACGGGAACCACGAAGGCCAGTTCTCTGCATCTCCCCCCAAGAACATGAACTTGCACTTCGTGGCCATGCCAAGGACAGCAGGCAGGCTATGCCCAAAATTCAAATGTCACATGACAGATGAGTGGATCAAGCAGCTGTGATGAGCGGGATCCATAGTACAGCTGAGCAGGCTCACACTTATCCTACCCAGGTTCGATCCCGGCATCCCTGAGTGCCAAGCCAGGAGGAAGCTCTGAGCGTCACTGGGTGCAACCAAAAATAATAATAAAAGACCGTGCAAAGTTTCCCTAGGGTACTGCTCTGGGGACAAAACCCGGGTCGCCTGCTCACAAAGCCTTGAAGAACCATCAGGGTTTATATTCTGTATTGTATTTTTAAATCTCTTTTTTCTTCCTATCTCTGTTGCTTCTGCTTCTGTCGTGCACATCCATGAATACGCACACGTGCACATGCGCATGTCCCCACGTCCCAAGGCCACGTGAGATGGGACAGTCGAGGCCATAGCACTTACCTCGCAGAAGCTCTGGCACTGCTGCTTGGTCAGATCCCATGAATCCCTGCATGGCTCCAGGCACTGTGGGTGAGAACCACGACACACCAATGAGTCACACCCCAGAAACGAGCCCCAGCCTGGACACAGAGGCAGACACTGCAGAGCTTGGGCAGGAGGGGTCAGGGCCCACACATCCAGGAAAACACTCTGAGTTTTCTGGTCCGGTTTTGGGGCACCCAGGGGTCCGGGATACCATGTGAACCACAAGGTCAATTCCAGGTCAGTTGCATTTGAAGCAACTGCCTTACCTTGGTTCTTTATCTTGCACCCCTAAATGCCACTTCTCTTTCAACAATATTTCCAGAAAATTCTGAGATTCAAGAACTTAAAAAAAAAGACATGTTTTCTGTGGGAAACATTTTGGGAAGAGTGGGATCACTCTTGGTGGTACTCAGCAGTTGCTCAGTGCTCTGGGCTCACTTCTGGCCATGCTCTGTGGACCAGACACCGTGCTGGCGATGGAAGTGTGGTTGGCTGCGTGTGAAACGAGCATCTCACCGCTGTGGCAAGCACCAAGCAGTAGATGAGTGCGTGTGTTAGATCCTCACACAGTCCATTGTCAAGATGCAGTGCCTGCTACATGGGTTTTATTGAATTTGGTGGCAGCAAAGAGCAAGAAAGGAACGGGGTGCATGCAAGATATTTTTTGGCGGGGGCATTGTTTCTTGCTTTATCTACATCCCCGTTTCTCTTTCATAGGACAGCTTTGAGGTGGCATGCTCCAGTTTCGCTTTCACTGCTTTTAAAAGCGGGAGCTCTCCAAATGTTTCGTTTTGCTGCAGCCGGCATGACACTGTGGCCAGTTTACTAGCATGTATTTCTCTCAAGCACGTTTTGAAAAAAATCTCACAAGATATGGGTCCCGATGGCTCCCTCACACCTGTGCTCTCCAATACTGCTTCTGTGATTTCTCCCTCTGTGCATGGGAATGCAACGGTAAACAACCACGGCTCAAGAACCTTGTCCGTCACATATCCTGGGCAATTTCTGAAGTAGCAGAGTCCCACCCTTTCACATCAGTGCGCTGGAGAAAAATAAATAACTCTGCCTGATGCTAAGGCAGAATAGAGAGGCCGTGGGGCAGGGTTTCAAGTCGCATGGCACAAAACACAAGTGAGTTGCTTAGAAAACCATGTATGCTGGACAGACACACATATGTGATGGCAGTGGAGTGGCAGCTACTAGGGATAGTGGCAACTACTAGGGGTGAGGGTTGGCCAGGAAGCCGTGGGCCACAGGGACTGGCACTGGGGCTTACACTTTCTTACAGACCAGCCACTTAGCTACTTTGAAGTGTGACCCTCGTGTCCTAAACCAAAGCTGACCCCTTTCAAGTCCTCCAGTGTTGGCTATTAGCTCCTCAAAGGCGCAGTAGACAGCACGGCAGGCCTGATTTACCTTCTCCAGGCCAAAGCAAGAGCTCAACAGCACTCCTTCCTTGCAGGGCCCAGCACAGTGGCACAACTGGACAAGCTGGAGAAACTGGCCTTTGGGTATTGGGAAAACACTCCTGAGATCTGAGATGGGAGTGTGGCTCATGTCCCCATACCCCCAGTTCAGCCCCAACATCATGCATGAAACATGTATTTCTCCAAAGTGAAACAACCTGTCATGTACCTTGCAGCACCTCAGAATCCAGAAGAAGTTCTTGCAGACTGTCCCTGCAAGCAGTGCCCACTTTGAACATAGGCTGACACAAAGCCCTCAGTGCTTGAACTAGCCCCACCTAAGGCCACGGGGACTGAGCCTGAACAGTTCCTGGAATAAATGCCATTGACGACACAATGGGCCTCTTGCCAAAGTGGGCACATTTCTGCAACGCTAATGAAAGCAATCCATAACCCACCTGTCCACGTTCTTCACCAGACTTTTCCATGTCAGGCATTGGCGTCATTCCTACAAGGCTCCAGCTAAGTGCACATCGGCCCCATTTCCAGGAACAACTCATCAGCAATGTCTAAACATACATCCGGAGACCTTCCTACTGGCGGCAACATTCTCTGCAGACTCCTCTGTGGAGTCTGTCTGGCACTCAACTAAACTCAGCTTCTCTGAGGAACGCAGCATAGCTCAGTATGCCAACCCTCAAGGGTGTTTGAGCAGGGCGAATGGTTTTGGCACAACTGAAAGAGGAAACTAAAAAATGGAAGTCACTGGCACAGATCAAGCAATGAGGAAGAAAGAAAGAAAGAGCAGGAGGAAGAGAGGAAGGAAGGAACGAAAGAAAGAAGAGTTTTTTTCCCCAGCTGGGGTGGGGGAGGGAGTTGGGGATGGCGGGAGGGAAAGTGGGGACATTGATGGTGGGAAATGTGCACTGGTGAAGGGACAGGTGTTGGAACACTGTATGACTGAAACCCAATTATGAACAGCTTTGTAATTGTATCTTATGATGATTCAATTAAAAATTTTTTAAAAATACAAATGACAGTATTGTCGGTGGGTGGGAATCATTTCCTCCAGGCGATGCCATTAAATGTGATGAAGAAGTGGGGTATGTGGCTGCCGACAGATCAACCTGTATCTGTTGGGCGAGTGCTTCAGCAGCCTGATGGTGCCTTCAGGTTTCCTGATACCCCAAAATTGCCGCTGTGCCTTTGGCTAGAGCCCAACAACTTGGACCAAGTTTACCAAGAAATTAAACGGCCAAAAGTTAGGTATGTGGAGGGCACACCCACAAACCACCTCCAGTTCAACTATACAAGCTCATTTAGTGGCTTTATTTCAGAAACCCATAGATAAATCTCGGAAAAGATTAAAAGCCACAGTTAATCTCAGACCCATGCATGGCTGAACAGACATGGATAAATGGGAGGGGGGCGGGTTGGCTTGGTGGCCTTCCCAAGCAGAGCCCCCAGCAGTCACTTGCTTCCATAAACCAAAATCACTGCCATACTTCCATCCTGATGGACCTCACCAAGATATAATCTGCTGAAAATTTTGTAATGTGGATCTTTAGCGCACCAACAGCCCTGGCCCAGAGACACAGAGTCAAGTCCCGGAAGACACCACAGCGCCAGAGATCTCTCTGGGCCCCATACTGAGCCAATTTCACTGGGGCACCCCAGATGGAGCAGGTGCAGTCTCCCCGCCTACTCCAGATGGAATCCTGGTGACCAAGAGCTTCTATAAGCAAGGCCCAGGTATGCGGGTTCCAGAACTAAATATCCCGGCCACATGGCGGCAGAGGACCCAACCTGTGCCTCCCTGGGTCCCTGCCCACCCAGAAGACTGGCTATTACTCCCACAATTTGCCTCTGGGCGCCATCTTGGCACACCAACTCCTCTGGCCCAGAGACACAGCAGCAAGTCCCAGATGACACCACAGTGCCGGAGATCTCTCTGGGCCCCATACCGAGCCGATATCACCAGGGCACCCCAGATGGAGCAGGTGCAGTCTCCCCGCCTACTCCAGATAGAATTCCAGTGATCAAGAGCTTCTACAAGCAAGGCCCAGGTATGCGGGTTCCAGGACAAAATCTCCAGGTCGCATGGTGGCAGAGGATCCCCACAATTTGCCTCTGGGCACCATCTTAGCACTCCAACAGCCCTGGCTCAGAGGCTCCCAATTGAATCCCAAAATGGATTAGTGCCATACAGAGATGTCTCTGGAACCAAACCATTTACAATCTAGAAATTTACATTTACAATTGAGGCCACACGAGCTCTCATGATACTCAAAATGCGCAATGAAAAATAAATTATCTAGCGTCTGCCCCTGGCAGGTAGGCTTGAATGGTTACTGTCACTGTCATCCCATTAATCTTTGATTTACTCGAGCGGGTGCCAGTAACATCTCTATTCCTCCCAGCCCTGAGATTTTAGCAGTCTCTTCTTACTCTTTTCCCAACGACTGGAGGCTCTTTCAGGGTCAGGGGAATTAGACCTATTGTTGTTACTGTATTTGGCATACTGAATATGCCATGGGGAGCTTACCAGGCTCTGCCCGTGCAGGCGGGATACTCTCAGTAGCTTGCCGGGCTCTCCGAGAGGCATAAATGGGTAGGAAGTATTTTATAATCTGTTGGCTGCACAATCCGGAAAGTGGCCGGGAGCATGGCGGTGGTTGGGCAGTGGAGGTCGGCTGCCAGGGCGGGATCCCTTGGGGTAGAGAGGGCTCTCACCTGTCCCACAGCCTAGTGCAGAGTTCCTTGAATGATAGGCTTGAGTGGCAGTGGGGAAATCTGAGCAAAATATAATGCCCCAAATTAGAGAGAAATGGGGGAAATTGTCTGTCATAGAGGTAGGGTGAGGACTGGGATGTCGGGGGGGCAGGGATACTTGGGACATCGGTGGCAGAAAATGTGCACTGGTAGAGGGATGGGATTCCATCATTGTATGGCTGAATCTCAAACTTGAAAGCTTTGTAACTATCTCATGATGATACAATAAAACAAAAGGTAATGTGGAATTTTTTTTCTTTTCTTGCCTTTTGGGTCACACCTGGCGATGCACAGGGGTTACTCCTGGTTCATGCACTTAGGTATTACTCCTGGCGGTGCTCAAAGGGACCATATGGGATGCTGGGAATTGAACCTAGGTTGGCCGCATGCAAGACAAACACCCTACCCGCTGTGCTATCACTCCAGCCCGAAAAAGAAATTTTTTTTTTAAATAAATGTGATGAAGAAAAACTTCCAGTTTCAGAGAAACGGACGTTTTGGCACGGAGTTACACTGAGAAACTCCGAACTGCCTACAGCTCACGAGACTGCATTGGCACCAGAGCGTTTTCGTTTCACCAGCCCTGCTTCAACCTCCTGCTCCTCAAGGTCCCGCCAAGCACAGAATCAGGAGAGCCCCTGAGCACGGCAAACTGAAAAGGCTGAGCATGCACCATGCACAGAGGGGGCTGTAGAGTGCAGGGAGGGAGTTCCTCCATTGCTGCTGGAACCAGAGGTCTAGAAAATCCATGTGCACTATCCCTTGCCTTGATGAGCACTGTATACCAACCTCCTGTCTCCACGGGCACCGTCTGTTCACAACGCGGATGGTGAGAGATGGCGCTGCCTCTTGGGTGTGTGC